AGAAGTAGAATAGAATAGAATCAGGAATAGAATAGAATAGAATCAGGCATGGCATAGCATAGAACAGAATTCTTTATTGGCCAAGTGTGATTGGACATACAAGGAACTTGTCTTTGGTGCACATGCTCTCAGTCTACATAAAAAGAAAAAGGAAAAAAACACATTCATCAAGAACCATAAGATACAACACTTAGTGATAGTCATAGGTTTCTAATAAGCAATCAAATCATATTAGGAAACAAATAAAAACAATATAAATTGTAAAGATACAAGCAGCATGGTTATGGTTATAATGATGGATAGATCAGAATAATCAGAATCAGAATAGAGGTGGAAGGGACCTTAGATGTCTTCTAGTCCAGCCTCCTATTCAAGCAGGAGATCCTATATCATATAGATAAATACAGATACGGATACGGATACGGAGATATATATATATACATATATATAGATAGATAGATAGATAGATAGATAGATAGATAGATATAGATATAGATATAGATATATAGATATATAGATATATAGATATAGATAGATAGATAGATAGATAGATAGATAGATAGATATAGATGATATAGATATAGATGATATAGATATAGATATATAGATATATAGATATATAGATATATAGATATACAGATATATATATATAATAGATAGTAAATATATATACATACATACATATATGTGTGTGTGTGTGTGTGTGTTTGTGTATGATAAATAGAGATAGAGAGTGCAACGAAACACAAACTAAATGCAAACTAATATCTATCTAAACTGAGTTTTAAAAGTAGTTTTAACACAGGTTTGATTTGATTTTGTTTCGGCAGATTGGGTTAATCTCAGATGTAATACTTCAGACTATTGCTCAGATGTAATTCTGAGACATCATCCAGCCCAACAGCAACATCGCTTGGGAACAAACCCGGGCGAAACAGACTTGCGTTCTCGGCTTATCAGATTTGCAAGCGAAGAGACTAAAAGTTCTCTCACCTCTGAACCGCGTAGAAGAGCTGTGGACGTCCCGCAGCAACAGACTCACAAGCCTTGCGCTCATTTGCAACACCTTTCCCACCGGCTCCTTGCTGGGAAAGCAGAATTTCCACCAAAAGACACCCAAAGCAAGTTTCCTTTTTTTTTTTTTTTTTAAAAGAGTGACTTCCGATTTGGAACCCGTGGCTCTCTGGGAAATGTAGTTTTTATCGGACCGACGTTCTTTTCTTTTCCCCACCTCCTCTGGCCTCAAAGCACGATGGGAAATGTATGCCGAGCGGACTTCAAAAGTCCCGACTGCTAGATGGCGGCAAAGAGGCAATACATTCTCTTCTCCTTCCCTCCTTTTTGCAGATCAGATACAGAATAACAGAGCTGGAAGGGACCTTGCAGGTCATCTAGTCCAACCCCACGCCCCAAGCAGATCCTACACCATTTTTGATAGATGGCAGTCCAGTCTCTTCTTGTGATAAAGCTCCCTCAACTTCCGAAGGCAACTTCTTTTTCCATCGGTTGATTGTTCTCACTGTTAGAAAATATCTTCTTATTTCTAAGCTGAATTTCTTCTTGATCAGTTTCCATCCATTATTTCTTGTCCGGCCTTCGAGTGCTGTGGGAAATAGCATGACCTCTTCCTCTGTGTGGCAGCCCCTCAAATATTGGAAGACTGCAATCATGTCTCCCTTGGTCAGATGAGATATAATAACCCCTAGTAATGATAAATCCCAAATGATTGATTTTTAATACTTCTAACTCATCATAAAGGTAAAGGTTCCCCTCGCACATACGTGCTAGTCGTTTCCGGCTCTAAGGGGCGGTGCGTATCTCTGTTACAAAGCCGAAGAGCCAGCACTGTCCGAAGACGTCTCCTTGGTCATGTGGCTGGCATGACTAAATGCCGAAGGCGCACAAAGCGCCGTTACCTTCCCACCAAAGTGGTCCCTATTTTTCTACTTGTATTTTTACGTGCTTTCGAACCGCTAGGTTGGCAGAATCTGGGACAAGTAATGGGAGCTCACTCCTTATGCGGTGCTAAGGATTCGAACCGCCAAACTGTCGAGCTTTCTGATCGACAAGCTCAGCGTCTTAGCCATTGAGCCACCGCAGCCCTTTTCCTCATCATACTGTGAATTAAATAATAGGCCTGTGATGACCCGTGGCGTGGCACAAAGACAACACAGTCACATATATAAGAAAAGACCCTTTAATACCTCCAACTTTGCCCCCAGTGTCCAGGTTACCTTCGGCTGGAGGAAAAACTCTCCCAAGAACAGTCTTTAAGTGGAGGAAATTCAGTCCAAAAACAAAGTACAGACAAACTGTAAATAAAAATCCACACAAACCATGCTGCAGCAATTAACTGGACAGGGCAGGATAAGGAATTGCAGACTTGAAAGGCCAACAAAACACACACAGTTGGGAAGACGCCAGGAACCCAGATAAGCCTCGACCATAAAAGATAACTCATGATTTGCTTCCCACGAGTTGCTGTGCGTAAACTCCCTTTTTAAACACTGTGTTCCCAGCTGCAGCTAATGAAGGGCATCAGGGCCCTTTCCTCCCCCGTAAGCCACACAACTCATGTTGCTCCCTTCTTTGTTCCTCCCTGCGTGCCATAGGATGAAGAAGGGGCGAGCCTGGGTCTTCCTCCAAATTCCCTCTCCTTTGCCACACTATAAAAAAGATGTTGAGACTCTAGAAAAAGTACAGAAAAGAGCAACCAGGATGATTAGAGTATTGGAGACTAAAACATATGAAGAATGGTTGCAGGAACTGGGCCTGGCTAGTCTAGTAAAGAGAAGGACCAGGGGAGACAGGAGAGCACCTTCCAATATTTGAGGGGCTGCCACAGAGAGGAGGAACGGGTCAAGCTATTTTCTAAAGCTCCTGTAGGCCAGACAAGGAATAAT